TGCGTATTATAACATGATAACAACGACAATAAAAAAAACAAACTAATAATCAATAGGCTAATTATAACTATTATTATAACGTGATGTTGCTGTTGATGATGATGATGATGATGATGATGATGATGATGATGATGATGATGATGATGATGATGCTGTTGATGATGATGATGATGATGATGATGATGATGATGATGATGATGATGATGATGATGATGATGATGATGATAATTTTTTTTTCTAAATGGGCCTGATGGACTCCACGAAGAAATATTCCAGCGAGAGTGATGCTCTTTTTCGGCTCTATTGTCATCATACTTAGAAGAGGTACCCCCACCCTTCCAAATAACTCCATTCGAATTTCCACTGCTCCTGGACATTCAATCATTTTTTTCTGCTTATTAGAGTACCCAGAATACACATCCTCCAGGTGCTGGTACTTAGCTCTGCATGATGGGTCTCTGATTCCCCTCTTGATCATTGAAAAGACTCCTCTGTATATTGTTTGTCGTCTGTCTCCTTCAATCTGTCTGGCTTCATTGGCAGCTTGGTCTGCTGCCTCATTTCCTTCGATTCCAACATGGCTTGGAATCCACTTGATTTTTATTGTGGCTGTGGTTTCACTGAACTTGCGGCGCAAATCATTTAAGTCTGAGCTGTTGCCTAGCAGTCCCTTGCTGAGGGACTGACTGTCAGTCCAGATCAGCACATTGGTTCTGCTGTGGCAATTGTCAGCAATCTATTGTGCAGCAGACATCATTTCCTGGCTATCCTCGTCAGACGATGATGTAAGGAAAGTACCTTTGATTTTAATAATTTCTGTTCGTGGTGGTTCATCATTCATTATCACCACTGCCGCTGCTCCACCTTCGCGGTATCCTGCGACAGCCGATCTTACTTTACTTTTACTTTTTCATCCTCTGTTGCCGTTAAGCGTGGAGGGGAGATGCAGTTTTCTAAGGTAGGCCAGCTCCGCAGCTCTTTCAGTGGTGATGTTATGTTTTCTTAGGCTGTTCCCGTAGAATTATGCAAATTTAGATGGCCAAAGCGATAAATGCAAGAAAAATGCAAAATGCAAAATTATGCAAAAATTATGCAAGTTACCGTAACGCTATTCGCGACATGTTTGCTCTTTTTTTTCTACAAGAATTTTCATGTTTTATGTACAGAAAATTTGAAAACAGAACATATCAGTATCGGTAATTTCTTGTGTATTTGGAAAGAAATCAATACACATCTGTCAGAAGAAAAAACAAACCAGAAAATATAATCTCTGTAACTTTCAGCTGCATCTCTATATAGATCTAGAGGAAAGAAAAATGTATTTAAAAAAAAAGAAAATATCAGGACCTCAGATGCTGGCACATCACTAAAACCAGGGAGACCTGTCAAACAAGAAACATCAGCAGACTTGAGAAAAACGTTTTTGATGGATTGAAAAATTGAACATGCTCAACACTCAAGGAACAAAAATCCCTAACCCATAACCATTAACCAAGCTACCATCTGCGTTTGTTGCCATTTTTTCGTCCAAAAGTTGCCAAAAGTTGCCATAAAAGTGGCAGAAGTTGCCGTGAAAGTTGCCGTGAAAGTTGCCATTAATTTTCAAGTTTTCATCTCTCCGTGACGACGAATATAGCAATTTGTTGATACAGGTAACTTAATCTAAGGCACTACAATGTCTTGTGCAGAATCCAGAATATAATTTGTAGCCATACAGAGTGTAAAAACGTGAAAAATAAAGATTTCACAACCGAATGAAATCAATATTAGAACAGCACATTCACAACCACAGAAAATAACAAATAAGTGCGTGTG